GACTGAGAGACAGTGATTGGCCCAAGGTCACCCAGCTGAGCTTTGTGCTGAAAGCAGGACTAGAACTAACTGTCTCTTTATTTTAGTTTGGTGCCTTAACCACCACACCAAACTGGCTGTCTATATAATCTTACTCTAAAGTAATTTCCTCACAGGGGAATTTACTCCCACATAAATGAAAGATTCTATGCACTTTAATGGATCATTTGGATATCTTGGGTCTGTCTGTCTTGTCTGTCTGTCCATATCTATCTGTCTATCTATCTATCTATCTATCTATCTATCTATCTATCTATCTATCTATCTATCTATCACATTTATATGCCTGCTCATCTCACAAAGAATATATTAAATATTCAAGTGAAAAGTAATGTTTTTAAAATAGAAAAAAAAACTACAGAAATTGGGATAAACATTAATGCTGTTAGCAAATATCAGGCCCTTCTCCTGGATCAAATATGCTATAGGCTATATTATATTGAAATATTATAGTAAAAGTTTGCCCGAATGTCCAAATTAAATAAAAATGCATACTAAAAACAAAAGAAATCTTTTTAGAGTTTGGTGTTCTCGTGAAATTTCAGGGTTTTTTAAAAAAAATGTTTTTCTGGACATCTCATTAGGCAAACCATGCAGTGGCATTAGGAATGGAAAAGGAGAATGGAAAAAGTTGGCCTCTTTCCTCTTTCTTCTCACCCAGATATTTTGTTTTGTTGTGTCTTGAGTTATAATTGTTGATATGACTTGTAAGTAAATTTGGCTGAACTGGTATCCTGAAATGTGGAATAAAAATAGCTGTCATAAATAATGAGAAGTTTATCACTAGGAGAAAATCTTTTTAAAAAAGCAAAGAGGCATAAAAGCTGGAAAAATTAAGAAAATGAATAAATATTATGTTTTATCCCTTAAAAATGAAAGATAGAGATAGATAGGTAGATAAATAAATAGATGTAGATAGGTAGATCGACAGATGATAGATAGATGATAGATATACATATAGATAGACATGGAGATAGGTAGATGAATCCTACTGTGCTCATTCCAATGATATTTTTTGCTTCTGTCTTGAGCACCTTAAAAGTTTACTACTCTACCCAACCAATGTGTTTTTTTACTATTTACAGAAACCATCTTGGAAAATGCAAGATAACTACAATTCATAAAAATATTTCTAATGTGTAGCACTGTAGGACTTTCTACCTTTTAGCTATTATTTGGCTTTTCCAGAAACAAAACTCTGAAATATAATAGGCAGAAGTCCTGATTTAGATTTTTATCTTACTTTTTAATTATTCTTTTTATTAGTTTGTAATATAAAATACAAAAGCATATAATAGGAAAAATAGGGGATGGAAAAAGGAAGGAGAAAGTGTAAAAAAGAGGGAAAAAAGAAAGATAAGGCATTGACTTCTGACTCCCTTTGGTGCAGTAGAATAAGACAGTAACATCAGACCTCAACTTTTTATTTTTACGAAATAGTATAAACTAGCCATTTCTATAACAACAAATCTATCTAATCGGTAAAATCCAAAATCAAAGTATTATTATTTTTCCATCTTGAGCACAAAGTCCAGTAATGGTTTTCAAGTAGAAACAAAAGTACTTGTGTTTTTTTCTTTTATCAAAGCAGTCAATTTAGCCATCTCTGCTAACTCCATTAACTTTTGCAGCCATTCATACATTGTGGGAATCGAAGTGTCCTTCCATTTTTGAAAAATATATAACATCAAAGTTCCCCCCAAAAAATTCCAAGTGTTTTTCCATTAATGCCCCCCCCCCCCCCCAAAAAAAAAAGTTTCTGGTTTTATCTTTATATTCACTTTAAGAATCTTCTGTATTAGAATGTGAATCCTCCTCCAATATTTATCCTATGTTCATTTGAAATAACTTTATACATTCTTGATAACTTGTCTGGTGTTAAATATCAACAATCTGCGTAGTGCTGCAGGACTTTCTACCTTTTAGCTATTATCTGGCTTTTCCAGAAAGACAACTCTGAAATATAATAGGCGGAAGTCCTGATTTAGATTTTTACAATGTCAACATATTAGAGGCTTAGTGGGGAGCAAGTATGATGATAATGTTGAAGATTTGAAAATATCACTAAATTTTGTCTCAATTTCAGAGAAAAATATTTCTAATGTTTAGCAGGATTTTATTTAAAAAAACTTTAAAACAACTATGGGGGAAACTGCATCAATATAATATTTTAAGAGGTGCAGTTGTGAAAAATGGAGAAATGAGAAAACTACAGAGAAGGGATTTCATTATATAACTATATATTATATAGTTGAATATTTCTGGGCTATATAAAGTACTAGATGTGGCTAAACAGACAAAACTCAGTTCTGACAAGATGGAGCGGTTACTGAGTCTAGGGGCTGAACTTCAGAATTCAGGAGAAATGCTGTGGGGCACTTCGGGATGTGAGTGCACTTCTGTTTTATTAAATGTAGAAGCTGCCCTCTAAGAAAGAACCATAAAACCAATAGACTCATGCACAACTAGAAAACATACAACATAACAAAAAACAACTGACAAGAGGCTCAACGTACTGAGAGACTGGCCAAGTCTTGAAGGATGTTTGTAATGTCAAGTTAGAACCCATTCTGATCTTTAAGGATTAGTTTTGACTCCTTCTAGCACTCATATGGGACAGCCTTGTAACACCTTTAGTAAACTACCTTTAGTAGTTTACAAATCAACTACCTGATATTAAGTTTATTAGAATGTAACTTACTGGTCATTTGAAGATGGTCTAGAAATTGCTGTTTGCCCAGAATGTGGTAGCATAATAATGTCTAGTGCTTCTTGATGTTGCCACAAAACCTCCTTACTGAAACAACTTCATTGGGTTGGCAATTGCCTTCCAAACCTTTATATTTTATTGTTCACATGGAATATAAAGCCTTACATATTATAGAACCCAACAACTACTTTTGTGTAAACTAACACATATACTGCTATCTTCATGCAGGGATCATGTTGTGGAACAAACTGCCATTAGAATTGAAGCAAGCCACCTTTTTTAAAATTGTTAAATTTTTATTCTTTAAAAAACAAAAAGCAAGCCATCTTTTTAATATTTGTTTATCCAAGGCTTTCCATTCTTTCAAAATGTATCATTTTATTAATATTTAGGCTTAATTTTATTTATTTTAATTCTATTTCTATTTAATTCTATTTTTAATTTCTATTTGTCTGTTATTTTTAGTTCCTAAGGGACTGGGTTATAGACAAAACCTATGAATAAATAAATTTAAAATATTATTTAAAAAGCATTACCTGAAATGTTAATATAAGATAGTCAAGCAGTTTTGGGTCTATTGATCTATAAGTCTATTGATGAGTTAGAATTCATTTTGTTAAAAGCTTATGAAATTCCTATGGATGTGGAATGTATCTTTGCATCTGTCCATTGTCCTATTTGTATACAGTTTTTTTACAGGTCACAATAAAGATATGTCCAGCTCACTCCTTATGGTTTCCATATTATCATATATCAGAATAATCCTGGAAAAAGTTTCCTCCTTTCTGTATAGCAATAGCATTAGCATGTAGACTTATATATTGCTTCACAGTGTTTTATAGCACTCTCTGAGCAGTTTACAGACTCAGCATATTACCTCTAACAATCTGGGTCCTTATTTTACTGACTTCAGAAGGATGGAAGGCTGAGTGAACCTTAAGATGGTTAGGATCGAACTACTGGCTGTGGGCAGAATTAGCTTGCAATATTGCATTCTAACCACTGTGCCACCATGGCCTCTATAAAATTCTCAGTGGCAATCATTTGAGATATTGGCAGATATCTCTGTAACATTCTGTTAGGGTTGATGTAAAACACAATTTTCCAACATTTTAGATCTTCTATACTCTGAACATTAGTACATCAATCAACCACAAAAGTCATGCATTTTTTGATTCAGTTATGTTTCTAATTTTTGGTGGCTCTATTACAGCAATACTCAAAATACTTTCTGTAGTTCACAGGGAAGTTTATTTCAAGAATGTGATATCCTACCCATACAGGATTCATTTCACAATTCAACTGTATGCATTTTTTTCAGATATATTTTTTACCAGACTTCATTACATTCAAACATCCTATGCTAGTAATATATTATCCACATCTTACTATAGTCCCAAATTTCTCTCAAACAGTTTCATTTAGTTTAATTATTCTTTCCCTTTCCAATTCTATTCTGTGAATGAAAATGCATTTGAGCTTCTTTCTGGATATTTAGAGTTCATGTGATACAGTTTTAGGTGCCCTTGGCAGCATTATTTTTCTGATTTATATTATCTAGAATGGATAATTGACCATGGACTTTATAAATCTTGAAGTATTTCATTACATCTCTGATTGTTGTTCCAGGCAGGTAGGAAATTTCACAAGCCAGGTATCTGATTAGCATAGATTTGTTTCATTTATGAATTTCGTAAATCTGCATGGATTCCCATTGGTTTACATCAATAAACAGTAATACAGGATGTAAATTAAAAATAATTAATACTATTTGGAAAGCCTCTATTTTAGTAACCTCTGAAAAGTCATGAAGGTCTATGCTAGCTTGGCTCAAGGGGTAGACTACTCATAAGGTCCACATTGTAAAAACATTAGCTATTGGGCTATGCCTCTGACTTTTTAATAATGGCAGACATTCAAGCAGATTTTCTTCAGGAAATACAATCCAGAGAGCTTGAATATCTTCAAACAAGGCTGTTCAGAAGGTACACAGAAGCCAAGCTGCATAATACTTTATTGTAAAAACCAACACATTAAATTGTACTTCAAAACCTCTTAGTAAACTGAGCCCATAGCATAGATGTCTAAGGTGGCTCTTGAAAGCCAGCTAGCCAGTTACCCACTGCAATTTGTACCTATTGCAGTTTCTGACTACTCTTCAAAGGTGCATTTTTGCAGTACTGTATTTGTTTTAGTTCCTTGTTCTAGGATGTCATCAACCACTATGACTCTTCTCTTTGTCTACTTTCAGGGCACTGCTGTATCCTGTTTGTTCTTCAGGGATCTAATGTCCTGTCTCCTGTTCCACAGTTTTGAGTTTTCTTCTTCTGAAGAATCAGAGGTTATTTATTCTGTGAGGGCCTCAAAGTTATGCAGCATATCTTCTATGACACTTGTTTCTGGTAGTGATTCTCATCCACTGGGCTTGTTCCTTTGTTTATCTTCCTTATGGAAAATTGTTTCTGTTGAAGCATCTACTTTGTTTCATCTGGTAAGTTTTCATTTTCTGCTGTCCCTATGTGTTCATTCCTGAAATAAGTAGATTGAAGGTCCTTCATTCTTACCAAATGATTGAATATAAATAATAATCTACAACACCAATTTAAGAAGGAGAACTTGTAATGCTACATTACCAAGTATAGAAGACCTGGGCAACTGTGACTGAGACATTGGGCTAAACCACAATGTGCATTTTTATTTGGTTTCTTTTTTAACGTAACATATTGGGTCAACCTAGCAATTAACATAAAACTATATATTTGTGATATAAACTGCTATGATTCATGGTTTAAATTTATAACTTTAGCTTTATGTATGAATGCTGCCAATATAGCCTGTTCACAGACTTTGTTTAAATTGAAATATAGCTTAGATAATGTAGGCAAACCCTTGCATATAATCTCATCTTTGGGTCAGGAATTTCTTAGATACCAAGTTTGGGGAACTCATTTCATCATCATTAATTATGGCTACTTTATGATCAAGGTATACAGGATTACAGAGAAAAGTGCAGAGTAACAGTGTATGATTAAGTATATGATAGGAATTGGCATGTCAAGGGTTACGATGATTTTAATAGAATAAAACTGGAGCTGAGATTGCAAACAAGGACAGATGTAGATGGCCAGGTTTCCTCTGGTCTTGTTTCTCATTTCCTGCCTGCAGCCTACAGAAATAGAGGAAGCTGTGAGTGTTAATGAGAATGGGAAGCTAACAATGCCCTACGTCACTCAGCTCAGAAAAAAAAGTTTTGCTGGACATCATTTATTTTTGGTGATAAATGAAAATTTAACATTAGTGCCAGGAAGACTTTAGAAAGAATAAAAATTGCATGTTTTTGCTTGTATCATTTGTTTCCATTGAATGGAAGAAAAAGTGATGAAATGAGAGCAGAACTCCTCATCTATTTGCTTTGATCTTCTCCCCAAAAGGGAACTTGTTCAAAAAGACCTAAATAAAATATCTGATGCAAAGGTAGAGTGGCAACTCAAGATAAATAAAAACATAGGAAATATTCAGCTATCACAAATGAATTTAAAACTGGAGGACCAGATCATTTACCTGTATGAGCCATAAAGAAGCTTATGGATGTATTCTTGGGGCCCCTCCAGTGACCTATGAGCAGTCATAGAAGATGAGCAGAGTGCTAACCAATCGGAGACAGGCAAATGTTCTTCCTATCAAAGACACTGGTCTAGGACATTATGAGAGCCCATGATTGAGTTTGAATGGTTTATTATGAATTGTTATGAGTCCCTGGCATGTTGTGTCTTTTTTGACTTGCTAATATTGTTTTTCAACCTATATAAGTTGCCCAGCATTAAATACCAACGAATAATTAATTAATTAAAGAAATAGAATTTGCAGATAACTAAACAATGAATAAAAGAGAACTCAGGTGGCTACAGAGTGATCAGATGGATGCTGATACCTGGCAAAACCTTAAAAGAAGTTATTAAGCACTCAGCTTGTGAATAATTGGAGAAAAAATGCATTGCTTAATTAAGGCCCACTGCGAAATATGAACCAGACCATATTACTATTATCAGTAGAACATGTATAATCAACAAGTATAAATCAATGGCTCAGTGTCAAGATGGGATAGCATGTGTCAGCTGGTGCTCCATTCAAAATCCAAGAAAGAAATACTTAGACTCCTTTAATCAGAGAAAAGATATCTTTTACTGGAAATCAAGTGGTAGCAACAAAAGAATTCTGAATCTGAGAAAATGGGTGCGTAAATCACATATACAAAGTAATGGCAACGTTCCCACCCCCAACAGTTCAATTGGCTCATCCAATTAAAAGTTGTGTATATCATCATGTGGGCATCTCCAGGTGGTGATGAGGCTTCTGTCCGTTGACCTTGACATAATTTGATAAAGGGTTGCAGCTGTGCATAACATAGGATAGAAACCTAAGCAAGAATGTACCCCCCCCCACCCAGTTTATACAGTTCTGGTTTGTAACACCTCCAGCTCACTTCCCATAACCATTCCCCCCTCCTCCCCCCGTTACTTATGACAGCCGAAAGATGCAAAGCAAAGGGAGAAAATCTTGAAGGCTGACAGCATGGCATATGGGCATAATTGTAAGCCCTGAAGTTCAGAGGAGCATAATTTTAGGATCTGAACTTCAATACTTTTAATAAATCACATGGATAAAGGGTTAAAAGTATAATCTGCAAATGCATACATATAACAGGGATAGCAAATACCTTAGAAGACAATATTAAGATTTAGGAAGATCTGAGGAAATCCAAACAATTGGCACAAACCAGCAAGATGAACTTCAAGAAGAACAAAGAAAATGTCCTTAATTTAGGTAGGTTAGAAGCATGAAAATAGGAGAGACCATACTGGACATTTGTACATTTAAAAGAATTTGGTACTTCAGTTGAGCTGAACATGAGTGTCATTCAGCTACAAACATTATAAATGCAGTATTTGTTTGTTTGTTTATTTTATTCATGTACCATCTGACTCCCAGCAACTCTAGGCAGTTGCATCAACAGAAGAACAATGTCAGGATCAATATTCATTGATCTCAGGCATTTTGTGTCCATCTTACAAAAGACATTTACAAAGTTGGAGCATGACTGGATGATAATGGGTCAGGAAAGAAAATTTTAGGAGGAATCGTTTAGGGCCTTGGGTATGCTTGGCCTGGACACAAAGAGAAGACTGAGGAGAGATGTAAGAGCTGTCTCATAGTGTCTCAAAAAGATACATTATGTAGAATATTATACTAGACTTGATCAGAGTATAATCAGAAGAGAAGAAAAGGAACAGAGATTACAGGGGGAAGATTTCAACTGGGCATTGGAAGGAATTCCTAAAAACCGTTTAATAATGGAACTATCTAGCTTGTTTAGAGAAGTAGCAAACTTTGCTGGAACTACTTAAGCCAAGATTTTTGACCATATGTCAGGAATGCTAAAGTGGAGTCTTCATCAGGTGAAGATTTGGACTAATTGATTTTCACATCCTCACATTTTATGAAGCTATAATCTTTAAACCACCCGAGAAAATAGGGAAATGTCTGGAGGGACAAACTGTTTGCTAATGCTTTCTAATGATAGGACCTAACTTTATCAGGCTTTTAGAACTGGGTTCATGCAAAATGGAGATTATTACATTGTGTTTAATGACCTGCAACTTGATAGGTAAATACTAATGAATCAATTCAAGGTAAAAGGAATTTGATTGAAAGAAGTTTTTTGGGCTTTGTGTGTGTTAATATGATCTCTCAATTTGATAAATAACTTAGGTTTTGCAGAGTGCAAAATAGCAAGAATTACAAATTATTTTATTATAATTTTCCTGGGTTGAACTCCTATTCAGAACATTAATGATTTCATTGGAGTTACATTAGGTTTGGCCAGAAATATGCAGTTTACTTTTAATAGTTGCATTTTAATTTGTATATCATACTTTTAATACTTAGATTTTAATTGATATATAATTTGGTTCTCAAAAACAGTAATGTGAACAGCAATGCCTGGAGTGAATTTTACTAGTATTCAAGTCTGCCAATGCAAGCCTGAGCAGTTTATTATTTTTTAAAATATAACTTCCCCTCAAGTTATTGATGACCCTCCAAGAGTAATGACCCACAGTTTTGAGAAACCCCGGTCTAAATGAAGAAAAGTATAGTATTAAGACTGCAAAACCCAAAACCTTTTGCTATTACTTTTTAGTTTAAAAATGGAAATGAACATGTGAATGCACAAGCCTATAGCTTGTACTGAATGTTCTATTGTACTGTATTGAATGTACTGTTATATGCCATCCAGATGATGTCAATTCTTAGTGTCCAGATGGATAGATTTTTCTCTAGGAAAATCTGTTCCTCTAGGAAAATCTGTTAAATTGTTTTTTTTCAACTCCTCCCACGGTGCACTCACAGGTATTATAAAGGTAAAGGTTTCCCCTTTCCAGTCGTGTTTGACTCTGGGGGCCAGTGTTTATCTCTGTTTCTTAGCTGAGGGAGCCAGCATTGTCCGAAGACATTCCCATGGTCATGTGGCCATGACTCTATGCCTAAGGGCACGGAATGCTGTTATAGTTGAGGCCATTCACCTGCTGCTAGTCGTCATCTTTTTGTGTTTTCTTTCCCAGCAATATAGACTTCTCCAGAAAGCTAGGCTTCACATAATGGGTCCAGAATAGCTTGTGCTACACTGCAGTTTAGATAAAAGAAGATTTTGGGCTTCCCTCAGGGCATTCCTGCTATTTTTATCTTAGCACAGAAGTGGGGTTACCCCCAATCTCTGTAGAATTTACCTTGAATTATGAGAAATTAGAACACCTTTAAAATCCCTACTTAACCTCTATTGTTTTGCATTTTATGGATGGCAATAAATGGAACAAATTCCTGCCTCTGATCTCCAATTGATATTTCTTGCTCCCTGTAGGAGAATTTAGGTTTTTGGGGCAGTGAAAAAAATCAGAAATATGTTTTTTTGAAGAACTTGCCTATAAAAATGCTGAAAGTGGGAATTGATATTCTGGTACGTTCAGTATTTTCCTCAGTAAATTGCCTTGGAGAGTTAATAAAACATTTTTGATTGCTTGGTTGTTTGCCATAAATATGGATATGTGTTTTGCACACAGACACATACAGACAGGCACACATATATACATACATGTAATATATATACACAAGCAACTTAAAAATCTATCTGTGCTGCACTAAGGCCTGATACATTTGTAAATCATGTGAAGTGGTTCTTTGTGTAGTTTATCTAAGATCTTGCAGGAAAAAATGTGACATTTTTACTGCCTAAGAAGTACAAAAGAATGGATAGTATATAGAGACGGAAATTGTGTGCCATCTAGTGGCAGACATGTTCAATGAACTTTGTTTAAAAGAAGGGTCCTTGGTGCCCTCAGCTTGCTTGTTTGCGTTTCTTTACCCTAACCAGGTAACAGCATCAGTGCTAGTAAGAACCAGCAGCTAGTTTTTAGTTAGGGTAATGAAACATCTGCAAGAAAACAAGCATGTTCAGAGAGCACCATTTCAACCCTGAGCTACAAATATTCCCCTTTATTGGTTTGTTTAAAAACTCACACAATGAGTTGGATTCTGGGTGACATCAGGGACAAGTCTGTGCAGTCACCTTGGCACCAAGTGAAAACCAGTTTGCCAAGAGTATTTTTTAACTTTAAAGGTGAGTCTATAATTCTGAGATTTCCTAGTAGGTCCATATATTCAGCAAGTGTACTTTAGATCCAAACACTAACCAAACCTGACTCTGACATATTCAAAAACATGATAAGGATCGTTTTCAAAAATTTATAGTTTTAAAAAAACCACTAATAAGAAAGCAGCAAAAATAAAGAACCAAAATATAAAGTTAAATACACATAATTATATGACATTTGTAATTTTAAGATGATTACATATTAAAGATGATATTGAATAGATTTTAAAAATCTATTAAATATTTCTGTGCAAAAAGACATTTATATATTACTTTATCTATCTAACTATATATGAATAAAGTAATTATTAACTAGGGATTAATTAAGATTTTGCTGTTGCATTCATTTTTTTGGTCAGTTTTATTTTCCATACTTTTAAGTACCATCTCCAAACAAAATAAATAATTTTAAAAATTGCAAGGGTTAATATGCCTCCTTTGGATTATTATTTTTTATACATAATGAATTTTAATGTGTTACTGATGAAAGTGTAGTTTATTTAAATTGGAAATTATTCAGGACTAAATGAAAACACGTTTCAGGGTTTTTACTTTTGCACGAACACATATTTTCTTAAATAACTTTTAATTTTTTTACATACTGAAGTATACTTGAGGGGTTCTCAAGGGAACTACTACAAATAGTAAAATATAAAGTCAGATACTGCAACTAATTACAACAGCTAAAAAGTCAAAGGAGGACAATGTTCACTGAAATAAAAATGGTTTCAGTTTGCTAAAAAGTATTAGGGGTCCAGGTCAGTCTCCACAGGGAAGCTGTTGGACATATTTAAGTTTTAGTGGAAGTGTTGTTGCTCAATCACACAATGCATCATAAACAAACTATAACAAGATGGATAATTCCATTTGCAGTCTGCCCATACTTTACGAATTTTAACTTCATTTTTCTATAGGAAGACATTAAGAGATAGGACGATGGCATACTCTGAAACAATGTGATATTGTTATCTGTCTGAAAGCACCTGGATTTATGGTGATTGCCAAGAAGAATAGAGTCCCCTGTAACACTTTCATTTATAAACTAAAGCTTAAAACAATGGCTCTAGTTCATATGTGATAATAAGCAACTTTAAGTATGTTGTATGTTGTGTACTATTTTATGTGAACTCATGTTCCCCAAATTGTAACACATAGTTTTCTAGTGCCACTTGCATAATATTTGACCTTGGTTAAATAAACCATAGATGAATGGAATGTTTGAAGTAGTTATTGGGATTATTAGCAAGCAAACCACCCCTGGCCATTTCAGGCAGGTCAGCTTTATGACTAGTTGTGGCATTCTACAGACACGTGACTGCAATTTGTGATGTTTTTTGGATTCACTTAATGACTGCTTTATTTGTTTAACAACCATGACAGTGGTTTACCTACATCCACTGCAAAAAAGATCAGAAAATTACTTCTGATCACATGGGTGCCTTGATTTACAACCGTAACAACATATGATGAATAAGTTGCAATTATAGTTGTAAGTTGTAAGTCGAGGATTACTTGTATATACATACTTACATGTAGAATCCTACTTGTGTGTTGTATTTGAAACTAATGTGAGTTTAAGTGTAACTGAGTTTACACTTTCTAGAATTATCCCCTTTTAGTGAAAATCATCTGGCTAATGATAGTTGTCATGTGATAATACTAATAGTGGATGAGAACTGACATGGTTTTATCTTTTTTTCCTCATTTTCTTTTTTTAAACTGAGAAAATTGAATTACATTACAATACTGAATGCATTTTACAGTGGAATTAGTGGGAAAGCATGCTAGTGTTTTTTTTAATAGCTTACTATGATTTTCCTTTTCTGTTGTAATTTTCTTTCCAGTGTCAATCCAAACAACAAGATGAAGGACTTCTCAAAAACAGATCCTTCAAATTGTAGGCTAACGTTCAAGTGGCTTGCTCATTTCCGAGTGACGCAATATTCACATTCTCTTTATTCTCCTCTTTTTATTTTGGTTTATTGTAGGCATGGAGAGTGCAATCACACTGTGGCAATTCCTGTTGCAGTTGCTTCTTGATCAGAAGCATGAACACCTGATTTGTTGGACGTCCAATGATGGTGAATTTAAGTTACTTAAGGCAGAAGAAGTGGCTAAGCTGTGGGGACTCAGAAAAAACAAAACTAACATGAATTATGATAAACTGAGCAGGGCTCTGAGATACTATTATGACAAGGTATTTTAAAAAAAAATTAATACACTATTTTGGGTTTCTTTGACCCAAAGGTTTGGATGCTTTCCTTTCAATGTACTTGCAGAAATACAGTATATTTTTCTAATTCTTTGCTGCATATTTCAGTGTTTATCCTGAAAACTTTAACATTATTTTTTTTGCAGAAGAACAACAAAAAAACCCTGTTCTAATGTAATTTACATGATTTTAATTTTTTTAAATTGTAAAACAAATGATTAATTTTAATGTTGGGATAGCACTATAGTAACACGATGTTAATAAGAAAACTTACACAGCTGCTTTGGAAGCAATTCCCAGCTGGCTCTGCACAATCTGCAAGCAAGGCCACTTGGCTGTGCCTAATGCCTGAATGCAGAGACAGCCAGGAGCACTTGGGAAGCAGCTGTGCGAACATGAAAAAGTGGCAGCTGCTTAAGAATTTGAAAAGGGGTACTTTGTATGCCCTTCTATGCTTTCTGAAGCACTTCTTTCAAAGGGTTTCACAGCCCTTTTATGATATGGGTATAGTTGTAAAAGATTCTGAAACATGGCTGTCAAACTCCCAACCCGCAGGCTGGATGTGTCACACGCTGGCCACGCCCACATCTGGTTTAGCAAAGGTAGAAAATGTCCCGATATGTCGTGTGTGACAATGCCGTGACATGAGTTTGACACTCCTGCTCTAAAACAAAAATTAGAATTATATAGGTAGTCCTCAACTTGCAACAGGTCATTTAATGACTGCTTAGAGTTACAGCAGCACTGAAAATAGTGACCTATGACAGTGTTTTACACTTATGACCATTGCAGCATCCCCATGGTCACATGACCAAAGTACAGATACTTGGCAACTGGCCATAAGAATGATTGTTGCAATGTCCCCAGGTCATCTGATCACCTTTTGCAACATTCGGACAAGCAAAGTCAATGGGGAAGCCAGATTGACTTAATAACTGCAGAGATTCACTTAGCAACTATGGCAAGAAAGGTGATAAAATGAAACAGAACTGTTTTGCTTATCAACAGAAATTTAGGGCTCAATTGCAGTCATAAGTTGAGGACTATCTGTAGTACATGGTATTGTAATCCTGTAATGTCTTTTGTTTCTTTTAAGAGCATTTTAGGAGTAATTAAAATGGTGCCCATTCAATATATTACTGTTAGGCAAATTGATAAGGATGGACTATAAAATGACTACAATAAAAAAGTACAATAGTCCTGGATAGTAAGAAAATACAATGTTGCATGAGGCTGAAAAAGAAAGAACAGTATTTTAAGTATATTAAAAATTATGTTTGGAAGGGTAGAAAAGAAAGAGGAAAGTACAAGAGAGAATGACAAGAAAATACAGAATCCTGAATTTTCTGCAAAGAGCTGTTGTTAACAAAATTTCTCCTATCTTGCATTAAACCATTTTGGCCCTAAAGCCCAGTGCTGGTGATTGAATTAAGCTTTTTGAAGTCTGTGACAATGTCATTCTTCCAATATTTTTATCCAGAGGTGCCAGGATTGAGCTTGGAGCCTTTTCTTTAGTCAGTCACTTGTACTACTTTGAACTATTTTGTCAAGTCACTTACATATTTTTTCATACCTGCTTTGATATTTTGTACAGAACATTATCAAGAAGGTGATTGGTCAGAAGTTTGTGTACAAATTTGTTTCTTTCCCGGAAATCTTAAAGATGGATCCTCATGCTGTGGACATCAGCAGGGAAAGCCTTTTGCTGCAGGACAGCGACTGCAAGATACCTCTGGAGAGCAGAGAACAGCATAAGCATGGTCTCCCAGTCTTGAAAGGCACAAGCCGCAACGAATACATTCATTCAGGGCTGTACTCATCTTTCACCATCAATTCCTTACAAAATCAGCCAGAAACTCTCAAGCAAATTAAAACAGAAAAGCTGGAGGAGAAATTGGAAGAAGTCACACCTCTGGAAGAAGTCCGGACTGTTATTAGATTTGTGACAAACAAAACAGAGAAACAAGTCATGAGGCCTGTTGTGTCATTGCCATCTACATCTGAAGCAGCAAATACGTCTACATTTTTAACATCCTCTGTCTCTGCAAAAATATCATCCTTAATGTTGCCCAACACAACTAGCATATCCTCAGCTTCATCAACTTCCTCTCGATCACCATCTCTGTCACCTAACTCACCCCTTCCCTCAGAACACAGAAGCATCTATCTGGAGTCTACTTACCAGGATTCAGATTCTCTTGAGCCATTGAATCTTTCTTCAGGATCCAAAGTAAAATCTCCTTCTCTTCCTCCAAAGGCTAAGAAACCCAAAGGCTTAGAGATCTCTGCACCTCCAATGGTTCTTTCAAGTACTGACCTTGGCTCTATTGCCCTCAATAGCCCTGCGCTTCCCTCAGGATCCTTGACCCCTGCTTTCTTCACCGCACAGGTAAGACGGACGTCTTTGAATTCCTAGCTGTAATTTTAAAAATTTCCTATCACAATACATGCTTCATAGTTATTGTAAAACAATTTCAAGGCTTATTTAGGCAGAATTTAGAGAAATATATCATCGGGGATGATTAGATAGATAGATAGATAGATAGATAGATAGATAGATAGATTACCTCCTGTTAGAAGTGTTAAATGCTGAACAATCAGAGCCAATGGGAGGACGTTCAGTTTAGCAAGGGAGGTGAATTCCAGGATTTTGGGAAGGGCAGAATTAAGTCTTCCTATCCCACCTGTAGATATGTGGTTTTTCTTACCTGGAGAAAACAGGTGACCTAGGAAATAAGCTGGCAGATAATATATAAGCCTTTGCAATTCCTGGTTAGTAGATGAGATATTCCCTATACTTGTGCTTACCAATAACATTTAACTATAGTTTTTATGAGTAAAAGCATTAGAAAATGGTATAAAAAGTCAGCAGCAGCAGCAAATATGTATTTGTAAAATTAATACCACAGGCACTACAGGAATTTCTTTGGGGAGAATGTTCAAAAGGGAAGCACTATTACAACCATGTTGTTGTGGCAGTGTTTTGGCAATATCCTGTTCCCCAGCCAAACAGAATAAAATTACTTCCCCAGCTTGGCAACTCCAAATATGTTCAACCATAGCGCTCAGGTAGCATGGCCAAAAGTAAGATTTGTGTTCTGTGTGTGAAAGATACCAGGTCAGTGAAA